AAAGTGGAGTGACCAATCAGCAACTCACAATTTAAGAACATGTTCCCGTCCGCTTCAGTATATAAATGACATGTGCGTGGACCAGAAAACGCAATCCCCTTGACAGATCCGGAACCAGATAACGCAATTTCTCTTGGTGTCTGGGTTGACTGACGGATTTCCTCAACTCTCAGTGGTACGTAAGCTCACCTCCTAGGGTGGCGCTTTTTTTAATCTTGCTTATTAATGACGCTTTGAGTAGTTGACAATCATACAATCACTTCCTAAAGGCGTGCGACTTTAGAAAAGCACGCGCGACTAGCCTTAGCTTTTTTAATGCTTTTCTGCTCAGGTCTTGATTAAAAACTATAGAAAGGGAACTATTTTATTACTATTATTATTCAAAGTATGCCTTATTAACCAGCTACTGGGTAGTTTAGCGCATGATGAATTAGTAGAACTCACAAACCGTTTTGAACTGAATCAAGCGCTAGGGTAGGGGCTGTTTTCCAGATGCACAGGAGACTCTGAAAGACGGGCTGTGTTCTCGTCACCTAGCCAGTGACGGATAGTTTAGCTGGAACTGAAATGTACTATTATCGTGTCTTGTTTGGTCGGATGGCACGCGAAAGCAGCAGCCACTGGCAGGTTTCACGTCTCGTTAAACGCAAACACATGCAGCTTAAAGTACATCACGCTGGTGGAGCTGTTTTTTAACAGAGGGGGTTTCGTGTTCTGTTCTTTTTCTCTGTGGCACTGGGCAGTCGCCTTCTTCTTACTGGCGCCTATAGCAGCATGTGATTTTACTTTGGAGTACATGCAGTCGTCCTAATAAACACAGGCACTCCGAAATAAATACTCGCCTTAGGGTCTAGAAGCTCCTATTCCAGTAGAAACCGACTTCAAATGAAGGCTGAACCTCTCGTTTTGAAAGGTACGCCCTTCTTACTACTCTTACAATACCTACTCATGCATGCATACACAATTAATCCCGTTTAAAAGTTCTTAGCGTTCGGGTCTCTTTAGCTCACTGACTGTTTAGGTGTACGGCCGGGAGGGGATCAGCTAACTGGTGTGTCACGAATGTGGCTACTCTCCGGAAGTCCATTGCATTGGATAGTTCTGAATGAGAGAAGTCAGGCGTAGGTAGTTGTTTTGTGGATAACTAGAGGGGGGAAGAAGGCTCACACACACTGTTTACAAAATTAGATCCCACAGGTCACCGAAACTAAATCAGTCTTCTTTTTCTTCTTCTTCTTCTTCTTCCTCTACAGAAACGAGACCAACGCGAAAATGCTGTCCATACCGTTGATTATGATAATGCTCTACGTGATCACCGCGGCTGCGATGCCCTCTCCAGGCCTGGATGTCATTCGCTTCAGCCGACTGGATGAGAGACCAGGCATGGCGGAGTTGGACTGCAGCAGTCCCAATGCTCCGGTCTTCTGTCGCTATGCTTTCGCTCGCCGTAGCAGTGACGGTGCCGTCGGCAGCAATGAACAGTGCAACTATCTGGTGACCATGCGCTCCGCTCTCCAAGCCGCTGCCGCCGAGGAGGAGGCGGA